CTCAAACTATAATATTACAAACCCCTAGAGTTACCAACTCAAAATTTGGGCAAGTGGACTTTATTGACTGATTGCATAAATCATGCGGAAAAAACATAGGTGACATTTGTTGTTGAGGCTCTCCATATGCGCTCATTAAATGAGTACATTTGTTACTCATTACCATAGGCCGATAAGCGAAAAATGACAGGGGTCAATCATCCACATACCACATCTTCGGCACGAGGTTCCAAGACCTGCTTAAAACAATAATGGTGCAAATATCTTCTAGAATCCAAACTCCATCCTTATAACCAAGACTTATGGCCCATTTTCAAAGTGCCATCCATGCAAGCACAACAAAGACAATTACCCATTCCCTGATTCACAGAGTCATGGGGACAAAAAAAAGTTAAAAATATGTGCTCTTCCACTTACCATTTAGTCCAGCGGTTACAAGAATAGCAGGATATTTTTGTGCCGCGATATGTATAAAAGTAGAGAGCTAATCTTAAAGCAAATATGGAAAAAAAAAAATGAAAACTATAGAACTGAAAGTAAGACTGTCGCCTTTACATTATAGAAATGTCACAAAAAAATGTTCTAGTACTTACATTATCAACTGGGGAATATGACCTCATATAGAAGTAAAACTCTTCTTTGCGAGGATCACTCCATTCCTGCAGTACCGAGAGTAAGCAAGAGTAAAATAAGCTTTGTACGCAAACACGAACTGGAACACATGTTGGCAAAGCAGGTTAAAGAAACAGCAACAAGCCAATAACTAAATGAAAAATTCAAGGGAGAGGAAACCATGTTATGCAACAAGTACAAAAACTGAAGATAACTGTTGGCAAAGCACACATGTCGCTTCACGTCTGCACCAGACATACATATTCAGAAAAAAAGGATAAGACCAGATTAGCAGCCGCTTAGTCGCAAAGAAGACCATTAAAGAATAAATAATTTAGATTTCTGACCACAAGAAAGTAAGCCATTGCGACAAAAGACAGCTACGGTATCTTATAACAAGCTACACAGTCAAGTCAATTGAAGACCACATTTTCCCTAATATGCAATAAATGAGAACTTCAATAGTCTTGATTTGAAATATGGAAACTCAAATTAAATTGATCTTATTACAATCACGTGTTTGTCTATTATGCAGCTGACTGAATAAGAGAGATACATACACACACAAATGTATATTTGTTGATATAATTCTACATAAAAATACTAAATAACGAATTGTAATCCAAGAACATGTACGTGTCAGATTCCATTATCATTTGGATAGATGTACATTTACATGTGGAAACACATTTAACTGGAGATGAATCATTGGAATCACCACCCAATATAAGTGCAGGTTCTTCATTCGAAACGAAACTTAAGCCTCCAGTAGAACAGTCGCCTATCCAGTCAACTTATGTGTCCATTATGACTCACTCACAAGAAGAATTATGATAGGTTTCTTGTTTTACAGACACCAGTAACAATGTGCTGCTTTGTACAGAGGGAAATATGCCTCTTAAGAGAGTTGCACAGTTGTTGAATGAGAATGATAGCAACGCACTTGATCAAATCAGCTTATCCCCTATGGGCTACTGTAAATTCATAGGCGGACAGTAAGACCAATTGCATGGAATGAGATAGCACAGTAGCATTCCTTAAACAAAAATTAAAATAATGTTATTATTTGTTTAGATAGATAAAATAATCTGATAAGGGCAACAAACTTCGATTAGGTTAAGTTGTTAAACAAGTACAAAACCTCCAAAAGGCCTGGCCATCACAAGTGCAAAACATCCAAAAGGCCTGGCCATCATATAAAACAGACCACAATACAGCCACTAGGAATAAGAAAAACAAAAAAAAGAGAATCATCATGATTCATTTTATAAATCCAATTGAGACACACTACATTTTGACACATTCGACTTATGCTGAAGTGCTGCACATGCTTTAACCCTTTTATCATTCAAAGTCGCCTTCCTCTACATTAACACATATCAATATATATCATACTTATTCTTTCACTACCCTGCAACTTCTGAAAAATTCATAGTAGGATCATGCTCTGAAGTGTTGGTATAATTCATCATATTATGAGCAATGAGGTATTTCCAACGGCCAGGAAGGAATAGGTTCAATGTGAGCTCCGTCTGAATCACAGTGGCAAAGATACCATGAGTTGAGTTCAACAATTTATGGAGAGCTTAAAGGGTGTAGTAAGGACTTGTGACACCAGAATGCAAATACGATATGACACCAGAAAAAAATTACTGTGACTCCAAGATGCAAATGCAATATGGCACCAGAAAAAATTACTTTGATGCCAAGATGCCAATGCAACATGTTAACATAAAAAAATTAGTGTTCAACCTAAAGTCGCCTCAATCGAGGAATATCTGCACAAATCTGTAGGGCATTTTGGTCAGACAATTTCACATTTACTTAGCTTCGCACAAAATAGCCAAGCAGAATTCCTAGTACTCATTAATTGAGTGGCTGATTGTGGCCAAGGATGGGCTCGCTGGCATCTTGGGTATCAATTGCATGATCTAGTTTGATTATATTTCCTATAATCCTTGGTCTAGCAAACGAAATGAGCATTACTAGTATTACCACACACAGCACACTGATTAGATGGTGGTCACCATTCCAACATTTATTTAAGAACTAAAACACGGTAATGGTTCTCTAGAGGTAACACGGGGAAAGAAAGAAAGAAAAAGAAGGAAAAAAAAAAAAAAAATTGCTAAAACCAAGAAGCAAGCTCACCTCCCACTCTGATGTTGTCAGAGGAATAGTTGGATCAAGCATAGTAGTCAAAACATCTACGAGAGGTACTCCAGCAACAGCAGCCTTAAACAAATCAGGCCGCATGTTAATAACAGCACCAATTAGCAAACCACCAGCACTTCTCCTCTCGATGCAAAGCTTTTCCGTGGAACAATACTTATTTCCTATCAAATATTCAGAGCAGGCAATAAAATCTGTAAATGTATTTTTTTCTTCAGCAGCTTTCCATTTTCATACCATGGTCTCCCCATTTCACACCTCCACGAATGTGAGCAACTGCGAAAATGAAACCCCTGTCTAACAAAGACAATCTTGATTCCTTGAAATATGGATCTACACATATCTGTGAAATAGATCAGCATATAACAACACTTTCCATCAAAGATTTTGGGCGTCCAGAATATGTGATGAAAATAATAGAAACAACAATATGGTTACAATATTAACCATATATGGCTTACCATGCAGAAAAGATAGAAAAACGTAACTTCTTTAGAGCTAGTTGAATATCATTGCTAGCAGTATGTTAAATTTACTCAATTCTCATAAACCTTAATATCATGAAGCATTACCTCATATGAACCATAACCGTAAAGGATTAGTGGATCTGAACCATCAAGCTTCACTAAATCTTTTCTATATACAACAGAAATGGGTGTTTGAGTGCCATCTGTAGCAGTAGCCCACACCCGTTGGGTTATGTAATTAGCAGAATCAAAGCCTCCAAACACCTGAAATAGTAGCAACTAGTTAAATGCAATGTTCACTTTTTCCTATCTCAGGTTCAAAAGATTGATAACTCACGGCATCAATCTTCTTGAGAACTAAGGTCCCAGAATTCATATCATAATCGTATACAGAAGAAGGTGTCCTCATTGAGCTATAAAAAAATCTCAAAATACTGGAATAGAATTGCGATTCTGACGAATCCACTGAATATACCGGATCAATGAAATTTACAGTCCGACCACCTCGAAGTGTGTCAAGTGGCTCTCCAATAGGTGGAAGGCAATATATTGATATCTTGGGCAAACCATTTTCTCGTTCATAAACCACAAGATGATCACTAAATGGTTGCATTTCCTGAATACATACACTGGTCAAAGACAAACACATGCCAATTACACATCAACCACAGAACATAACTGATATGTAGGAAATTGGGATGGAAAAGGTATATCCATAGATAAACAAGAACACAGGTGAGAACCTTATTCTCTTTCTATGAAAATATTATAAAAATCAAAGATTTGTTACATCTCTTTCATGCTAAACAAATAACTAATATGCAGATCAGCCCTAAATATGATATGGACCATGCTATAAAAACATAATAGATGACATAGAGTTTAACATAGTATACACATGGCAATATTTGTGGTTTTACACATCACATTAATTTGAAAATCAACAACTCTTACACATCAATTATGTCAACCTTTATGTCAAAATATTATGTTAACGTAGCATTATTCATCATATGAACTTAAAGAACAAAATTTGGAGTTCAAGGTACATTTTATTATACGGGAAAACTCAAAGATTTTAAGGGAAATAATTCAAAAAGAAAACTACCCTTCAGGTTTGACCAAGTTAACAAAAAAACATATAAAACAAAAATCTGGCAGACCGTGGTTAAAAAAAACCTCGCCGTCTGCTCACTCTTCCTTCGCGAAAAAAACTCAAAGATCTTTTTCCTCTCTCGCGAAAAAACCCCTCGCCGTCTGCTCACTCTTCCTTCGCATCGCTCGGCCTTCCTCGCCGGCGGCGTGGCTTCGGCCCGCCGTCGCCCTTGATCGCTTGTCCTACCCTATGTCTCCTCGGTCGGCTGTTGTTGCTATGGTGAGCCGACGACTGAAGATCTGTCCCTACTCTAGTTTGCCGGCGAGTTCGCGATTGAAGGTGGAGAACTCCTTGGTCGGCGATTGGTCTAGCGATTGGTGGTGTCGATTGCTGGAGGGCTCGATTGGAGGGGGTTGGCCCCAAAATCTGACTTTGCCGGCGGACCGTGGTGATGGCTGGTCGGAGGGTCAGCAGGTGGGGCAGGGCTTCGGAGGCTGTGGCGTCTCCTGTCGGAGAAGCCGAAGCTGAGTGACCGTGCCACTCTCTCTTTCCCCCCGGTTCTCTGGTGTTGGGGTCGGGTGGGGTCCGGAGCAACCGAGTTTAGCTAGTGGTGTTGGATGAATTCCGATTGTGAAAGTGCGAGAGTTGGTGTTGTGTTCTCTCGATTGGGGAAGGATCGTTTTGGGATTAGGTTTGGGGCTCGGGTTCGACTGCTTGTATAGGCATTCTCGTAGTTTTGACAGTAGAGCTTGGGCTCGAGATTTTTCTTGGATTGATTGATCTCTGCGGGCGAGCTCATTGGCCGATTAGAGAAGGGCTAATTAAATATGGTAGTTTAGGGGGTGTATTTAATTAGGATTTTTAAGGACTTTTTAAGACTTTAGAAATCCTGGTGTATTTAATTTAGATTTGTTAAGACTTTTTAAAACTTTTAAAAATCCTGGGGTATTCAATTGGGATTTTCAAAAGTCTTACAAAATCCTGAAGTATTTAATTTTTTTGACACTAGGATTTATTAAGACTTTTTAAGATTTTGTGGGATTTCTAAACAAAAAACCTTATATGAAATCTCACTTCAAATCCTACCTCCGGACTTGAGATTTCATAGAATTCTTCCAAAATCTGAAAATCCTAGAAAGTCTCAAATCTCAAAAAGTCTTAAAATGTCACTTAAATTCCGAATTGAATACACCCCCTTAGTTATTTTATTTTCTGTTTTTCCGTAGGCTTGTGTTGTTTCGGTCTTATGTTTTAGTTTGGTGGTTGGCCATTGTGAGCCTGAGTGTCTACTTATTATTCTGTTGGATCGAATACTCGGGTATTACCTTGTTGGGGTCTTTTTAGTTTCTTAGTGTTTTTTTTTATTAGTGTTGTAGTGTGTCCGTGAGTATTACCCCGTTGGGGTCGGCTCTAGGCGGTCCTTGGACTGTCCTCTCAGTTTATTCAATTGTTGGCTGTCTGTATTCAGCCGTTGGCTGTGTGTATTCAGCTGGTGGCTGCTCTTTTGCACATTTGTGCCATTTTATATAAAACCTCTATCGTTTTGGCCAAAAAAAAAATGAGGATTTTTAAATATTTATGCAATTCTAAATTAATCTCATACAAAAGAAATATTTAATTCCCATGCATAAATAAACAAATAATTGGCATAATAAATTTAAATAAATAAATCTACTATTATGTCATTAATTATTGAGCCTTTTACACAAGGAAACCTTATCAGATTTTTTCCTTGTCTAACTGCAACTCCCACTGCAGTAGAATTCTGATAGGTATAGTACTGCTTGTCCAACCAGAAAAGC